ACCCACACGCACATCCACATCCACACTCGCACCCACACTCATCACCCACACCCCACACCCATACCCACACCCACACCCATAAAGATCACATGTACCACTATGATAATTATAATAATATTGTTTGCCTGATATAAAATTCATCCACATATGAAATAAATCATCATAAGTTATATTACCACGACCAGCATTATTAACTACAGTAACACGCATTTGTTCATCTTTTTTTATCATAATAAATTACTCCTTCTGATCGAAAATCAATAGCAGGTATAATTTGAAAAAAAAGAATTTACATAAATTAATAGAAAAAGAGAAGCCAGTGGATCTTCTTGTCTTTCTTTATTCATACTTTCTACTGGTTTTTCTTGCTCTTTGTCTTCTCTTTTTCTATTAATTAATGTTTGAGTTAATATTATATCTGAACATTGATGAAAAACTGTTCCATGATCATCTTCTAAAGGATTATTTGATAAATATCGAACATGTAGAACACATTCATCACGTGGTTGATTTGGTAAATTAATTTCAATTGAAAAATTTGTTTGTGTTATTTGATTCATCGTATTATAATCGGATAATGAATGTATTACAGTAAAATCATTTTCAGATGGATTAAGACGTGCAGCAAGTGATATATCAATTGTACCAGGTTTTATTGTATAATAATGACTAAGATTTTGTTGAAATTCAACTTTATATTTACTACCAGCAACTCATGATGTACGTGGAGATGACGATGATGAATCAATATTACCACATGGGGCTGTTTTATGATAACATGAATGAACACCTGGAGTTGAAATATCAAATGTACCACGTTGCATTGGTGACCATAGACATATAAGCATATGAACACCATTGCTAATAGTTAAGAATACGAAAAGGGTGAAGACAAAAACCATCTTTGTTGATATTCCTAGTTAATAGGAAATAAGAAATGATAAGATTACAATGCCTTTTATAATGTTCGAAAATGTTTTATGATTAAATAAAGAAAACGTGTGTTATTATCTTTATGAAGAATCTTTTTTTGTTTCGTTTATATTAAGATACATATATCCGTCCTGTCAAAATAAACGGAAAACCTTGTTTCTGTATTTTTCTATGATCGTATATCCTTTAGGACCTATATTTATACTACTGATAGGTCTTGTGTTACTCAATCTGCTGACGAAAATTCAGTTATATTCATCAAGAATTGGCTGAGAAAGTGGCAACTCAATCTAAAATACTCAAATATAGTTGCGTCAAACACTCCTCAGCATGCTCATTTTTCAAATAACTTTTTCTTTAATTCTGAATTAGTAGCTATTGATCAGGGTGTGATTGTGGCTGCTCGTGGATGTGGCTCAGTGTGGATGTGGGTGCGGCTAATTGTTCAAGAAGAACCAACACCCACACCCACACCTACACCGACACTCACACTCATACCCACTCGGACCCACAACCACACCTACACTCACACCCCAAGCCTCACACCCAAACCCCCCCCCCCCCACACCGCACCCACACCCACACTCACCGTAAGGGAACCAATTGATGGTTACACACACTTTCAAGCTGATCTTATTTGGTTCATAAAGAGGAAATGTTATTTTCTTAATTTTTCCAGGCTTTGATCATTATGAGAACCACATATCTATTACGAATGAAATCCTGCTTAGATTCCTCAAAACAACATTGTTTTCAATGGCACCGAAAAAACTTCGATTTCCTACGTAGTACCTGAGATCCATGCAGCTAAAAGAGGGTACCCATATGCACCGTCCAATTTACTGCTAGGCGTAAGAGTTCTTCCAAACTTGTAACAGTTCTTACTGAGCGTTTCGTCTTCATTGGAAAGCAAAAGAATCCATAGCAACAGCTAGCTATCTGTGGCCCAAGATCGAGCAGTCACGACATGCGCACTCTCGAGATGCGAAATCAGCTATCTACATACATGGATAAAGATACTTTCCATTCTACCTATCAGCAGATGTTACTGCGAACTAATTCTTATTCGGATCATCTTCTTTTCTTGCCTATTTTAATCTACTTTAAATACCAATATTTCCCAAATACAAATCCACGAACCCAAAAACAAATTCTCACTATCATGAAACATCACCCACGCAAACCACTGACCAAAAACTACCAGTAACAATATCTTACCCTCCGAGATTTAATTAAATCCACTATTTCCTTCATTTTACACAAAACATTTTCCTTAGCAACTGCAACAAACCAAAAGTATTTGACGAGCTTCGCCCGCCTTCACCCTCAACACAGGAACTCCGCGCCACTCTACACAACGTACACCTTACAGTCGCGTATTCCCTTCATACCATTTAAGGTGCGGGAAATTCAAAATTTTAGCATAAAATTTTTTTTTCAATGTTTTATATATGGTTGGATAGAGCTCATCAAACTGTATAAGAAAATGTATTTTAAAAAATTTTTTCTTGCTTTATATCAAAAAAAAAATCAAAATACTTTGATGACATCGGTCCATGTAAAAATCGACTACTTTTGAGAAATGATATTTAAATTTCTCTTTTTCTTATTCTAATAATTCTAAGAATATTATTTTCTTTATCAGTATGAAAAACTGAGTATAAAACATTAATTTAAATTAATGTTTTATACTCAGTTTTTCATACTGATAAAGAAAATAATATTCTTAGAATTATTAGAATAAGAAAAAGAGAAATTTAAATATCATTTCTCAAAAGTAGTCGATTTTTACATGGACCGATGTCATCAAAGTATTTTGATTTTTTTTTTGATATAAAGCAAGAAAAAATTTTTTAAAATACATTTTCTTATACAGTTTGATGAGCTCTATCCAACCATATATAAAACATTGAAAAAAAAATTTTATGCTAAAATTTTGAATTTCCCGCACCTTACCTATAACACATCAGAACTAGGAACACCGACACCCGCACCCACACTAGTGTTTCCGACATACACTACAACATATATAGATTCAAGCCATACCAAACCTTTAGATTTTCATTCCCGAAAACAACACTGAACTGTCATTCATCCCTCTTCTTAAGATTGTCATCGCACAAACAATTTCTACAATCACCTATTTCGCTCACTCCCAAACAAACCTTGCGACGACCTATGCACATACAACAACAAAAGCCAAACGAACATTCCTCACCAGACGGCTTTTCACCTCCTTTGCACACTACCAACCAAAGCCAGCGACTCGCTATGCTAATACAGCATCACATACCAAACCAACAATCCACATTAGACTTCTCTTCACTTCTTTTTCCCACTACCAATCAACCCTTACTGCTCGGTATGCTCATACAACCTCACATAAGGAACGAACATTCATCACCACACTTCTCTTTATCTCCTTTGCTCACTACCAAGTCCAGCTAGCGACTCGCTACGCTCATACAACATCACATACAAAACGAACGTTCACCAAGATATTCTCTTCACCTTCTTTGCTCACTTCCAAGCAAAGATTGCGACTTGCTATCCTCATACAACATCATAAAACCCACGAGCACTCATAAGGATACTTCTCTTCACCTCTTTTGCTCATTTCCAATCAAAGCTTCCGACTCCGTAGGCTCATACAACATTACCTACCAAACGAACACTCAAAATGATACTTCTCTTCGCCTTTTTCCTAACTTCCAAGCAGTGCTTGCGACTCTGTATGCTCATAAAACATCACTTGTCAAACGAACATGCATCACCAGACCTCTCTTCACCTGTTCTGCTCACCTCCAACCAAAGCTTCCAAATCGCTATGCTTCTACAACATCACATACCAAACGAACATTCCTAAACACACTTCTCCTCACCTCTTTTGCTCACTTCCCCGCAAAGCTTGCGCCTCGCTCTGCTCATACAACACTACATACCAAACGAATATTCATAATGACACTTCTCTTCACCTCTTCTGCTCACTTCAAAGAAAACTTTGCGACTCGCGATGCTCATACAACATCGCATACCCAACGAACATTCATAATGATACTTCTCCTCACCACTTTTGCTCATTTCCAAGCAAAGCTTCGAATTCGCCATGCTCATACAACACCACATACCAAACCAACATTACTCATAAGACATCTCTTCACATCTTTTACTCACTTCCAAGAAACGTTTGCCACTCGCTATGCTCATACAATATCACATGCTCAACGAACATTCATAAGAATACTTCTCTTCACCTATTTTGCTCACTTCCAAGCAAACCTTGGGACTCACTATACTCATACAACATCACATACCAAATCCACATTCATAAAAAGACTTTTATTCACCTTTTTCCTCACTTCTCAACATAGCTTGCGACTCGCTATGCTGGTACAGCATCACATACTAAACGAAAACTCATCACCACACTTCTCTTCACCTCTTTTCCTTACTCCCAAGCAATGCTTGCGACTCGCTATACTCAGACAACATCACATACTAAACGAACATTAATCACCAGACCTCTCTTCATCTCTTCTGCTCACTTCCAAGCAAAGCTTCCGACTCACAATGTTCATACAACTTCACATACCAACTGAACATTCCTCATCAGACGTCTCTTCACCTCTTTTGCTCAGTCCCAAGCAAAGCTTGTGACTGTCTATGCTCATACAACATCACAAACCAAACGAACACTCATCATCAGACTTCTTTTCACAACTTTTCCTCACTTTGAAGCAAAACTTGCAACTTGCTATGCTCATTTAACATCACATACCAAACGACCACTCATAAGGATACTTGTCTTCATCGCTTTTGCTCACTTCCAAGGAAAGCTTGCGACACGCTATGCTCATACAACATCACATACCAAACGAACATTCCTAAACAGACTTCTCTTCACCTATTTTTCTCACTTCCAAGAAAAGCTTACGACTCACTATGCTCATATAACATTATGTAGCAAACGACCATTCATAATGATATTTCTCTTCACGTCTTTTTGCTCACTTCCAAGCAAAGCTTGCGACTCGCTATGCTCATACAACATCACATACCAAAATAACATAACTCATAAGACCTCGCTTCACCTCTTTTACTCACTTCTCAGCAAACCTTCCGAGTCGCTATTCTCATACAAGATCGCATCGCAAACGAACATTACTCATAAGGCTTCTCTGCACCTCTTCTATTCACTTCCAAGCAAAGCTTGCGACTCGCAATGCTCATACAACATCACATACGAAACGAACATTCCTAAACAGACCTGTATTTACCTTTTTTGCTCACTTCCAAGCAAACCTTACGACTCGCTATGCTTATACAACATGACATAGCAAACGAACATTCATAAAAAGACTTCTCCTCCCCTTTTAGGTCGCATCCAAGCAAAACTTTCAACTCGCAATGCTCATACAACATCACATACCAAACGAACATTCATTACCAGGCCTGTCTTCACGTTTTTGCTCACTTTCAAGGAAAGGTAGCGACTCGCCATGCTCATGCAACATCACATACCGAACGAAAATTCCTAAACAGACTTCTCTTCACCTCTTTTGCTCACTTCCGAGTAAAGGTTGGGACACGCTATGCTCATAGATAATCACATAGGAAACAAAGATTCATTAGGATACTTGTCTTTACCTCTTTTGCTCACTTCCAAGAAAAGCTTACGACTGGGTATGCTCATACAACATCACATAGGAAACGACCATTGATAAGGATACTTCACTTCAACCCTTTTGCTCATTTCCAAGGAAAGCTAGCGAGTCGCTATGCTCATAGAACATCACATACCAAAGGAACATTCATTATCAGACTTCTCTTCACCTCTTTTGCTTACTTCCAATTAAATCTCGCGACTGGTTATGCTACTAAAACGTCACATAGCAAACGAACATTCCTAAACAGACTTCTCGTCACGTTTTTTGGTCATTTCGAAGCAAAGCTTGCGAGTCGCTATGCTTATACAACATCACATACCAAATGAACACTCATCACCAGACTTCTCTTCATCTGTCTTGCTTACTTCGAAGGAAACCTTGCGACTCTCTATGCTCATAGATCATCACATACCGAACGAAGATTCCTCAAGAGACTTCTCTTCACTTCTTTTGCGCGCATCCAAGAAAACTTTGCGACTCACTACGCTCATACAACATCACATACCGCACGACCATTCGTAAGGATATTTCTCTTCACCTCTGTTGCCCACTGGGTAGGAAAGCTTCCTGCTTGCGATGCTCATACAATATCAGATACCAATCGAACAGTTCGCATCAGACTTCTCTTCACCTTGTTTGCTCACTTTCAAGCAAAGGTTGCGAGTCGCTATGCTCGTACAGAATCATGTAGGAAACGATCATTGATAATGATATTTCCGTTCACGTCTTTTTGCTCACTCCCGAGCAAAGCTTGCGACTCGCGATGCTCATACAACATTGTATGGGAAACGACGATTGCTCACTATATTTGTGTTCGGGAGTTTTGCCCACTTCCGAGGAAAACTTTGTACTCGCTATGCTCATACAACATCACATACCTAAGGAACATTCATCAAGATACTTCTCGTCATCTCTATTGGTCCCTTGCATGCAATGCTTGCGACTCGCTATTCGCATACAAAATCACATGCCCAAGGAGCATTCTTGAAGATAGTTCTCTTCATCTGTTTTGCTCATTTGCAAGGAAAGTGTGTGGCTTGGTGTGCTGATACAACATGACAGAGGAAACGAACATTCATCAAGATGCTTCTCTTCACCTGTTTTGCTCACTTCCACGAAAAGCTTGCGAGTCGCTATAGTGATACAACGTCGCGTACGAAATGGTATTGCTGAATCACATGTTGCACCAACCATCTATTCACAAATCACAGCTATCTACAAGCAAAATGTTTCCACGAGCATTACATAATATCTCAAATAAAAGATGAATGATCATAATCAATATAACGTTTGTTTATTTTCATAAATATGACATAAATATTCGAGCAGCTTTAGTTAGTTCATAATCATATATCAAATGAATAATCCTAACCAGAGTCCTGTTTAGTTTTTTTATCCATTTTATTCCATAATAAATGCATTCGATAGAATAGATAGACTATCACACAAATTATGAATAGTAATAATGCTTGTTGAAGTATTTCCAATGAATCTTTTCATCCATGTTTGCGTCTCATCTTGGAACTTTATTTAAATGTTGAGAATCGATGAGCACATGAAATGTGAATGCTTCATATATTTAAACCTACATTCATATATTTTCTTCCATCCATATGAAAGATAATAGATTTTTGAGTGCATAAAAGATAACATATTAAATTATCCTTTTTTACCAATGTTTTGTTCATCGATCTTTTGCATTATGAAATCAAGATTAAGGCTTGCTGATATTTATTAATAATTCTGTAATCAGTGAATATGTTTTATCGAGATTTAATTCACTTAAACTGTTCAATTCGAATTAAGACATCGAAACGATATGAAATCAATAAATACCTTGTGGCACCTGAACGATTGCTTACCAACATTTTTGTTCAATTGTTTTACTACATAACTAAATAAATCATTTAAATTAATGTACTAGTAGCAGATAATGAGTTTTATGGATTAACACAACGTTTATGATCTTCATTTCCCCAATAGTGCCATTCAGTTTAGCAGCAATCATTAAAACAAACGATTGGAGGATAAGTTTCTGTTAAATATCATACGGTTCAGGATTGGTCAAAATTCTTCCAATGACGGTATTTATTCATTATATTCTCTTCGTTCCTCATATGATGAATTTGTAAACTAATGAACATTCAGATGAAAAACGAACCACTTACACGCTGGGTGTTATATTCATTTATATTACTTGTCATGAAAAAGAATTCCCCATTGATAAGGGGATTCAACGATGGTACCATAAATTAATTGCCTCCATCCATTTCCAGCTTGCTGGATGATTTTGTTCATCTATTCTGTACATATTGGAAGAGTAGTTCAATAAAGACAAACTTATAGTAAGTCATCGGTTAAGTACATACTTATCATCGCCCTTAGGCTTTTTTCACCTATTTTATCTGCATTTTGGTTATCGTTTCTATTTCAATACACAGCGACGGTCGCATACTAGATGAAGGATTTGAATAGTACCAACAGTAGCTTTCATTTATTTCATTCATATCAATGCACAACGAATTCGTGTTAAGAAAAAAGACGATGACCTATGAAATAAACCAATCGAATCAATGTTCTGTTCATTTTTATTGAGTTTACTTCAAAATTAAGATTAGTGATTTGTCTATAAATTCAAGATTACATAAGAAATTTATAATCCCAACGGCATTTCCCGCAATTGGCACAAATGTTTAATTCAAAAAATATGCTCACTGAGAACGAACTCGCTTAAGACTACTTAATAACTGAAATTTCCTAACTGATAAATAATCTTCAGGACAACGGTGTTCGCTAAACTTGGTTTTCTCAGAAAAAGTTTGAAATTCTCTGAAAGGCGTTGAGGTTACATAAGAAATGATCGAATGGAACGACCCTTAACTTCTTGTTAATTTATTTTATTCTTTGTAAGTAAAAGCTTTGTTGCAGTCACGTTTTCAAAGAATTGTAGTCTATGAATACTGATAACAACATTTCTGTTCATCCACTCTTTTTTCTCTAGGGGGAAAACTGTTCAGTGTATCTGGCAAATAATGGTCATACAATCAAAGAATATTTCTAATTCAGTTCTTCATACGTTCCAAGTTTGGCGAATTCGGAGGTTTCTAAATACAAATCGTCAATCTTCTAAGTCAATTCTACAAAATCTAGAGAGCTTCTAGTCAATCAAATAAGATTCACCATGATAATTAAAACATTTATAAAAATAGAAAATCATTGTTTTAGTCTATTCTACGGTCTTACATATGCCACCCTTGAAACCTATGTTCAAATGGTAAATGTGTTATTAGATATATTCAATTCATAAATAGGAATAGCTTATTTTTCTTTGTCAGACTATGATCCTGTAATGCTCATAATGAAGTATCATGACAAACATATCTAGATAGAGTTTTTGAACGTACTATAAATAAATCAGAAGAGAAAAGATTTTAAAATTAAGTGTTCGTCGATCTTTAAAGTTGATAAAGTGTGAAGTATCTATACTCTCCTCTCAATGGCTCTGATCATTCCAATCAAAATTATATCTGAGGTGTCATCATGAAGTTTTAATAAGGAACTGCGAAAAAAGGGTTCATCTTCACAAGTGATTATACACCGAGAAGAAAACAAATTGATTGATGTGTACTCCCTAATGAATGTACTCATCCAGAGAGTACGACTTGCCAGCATGAGTACTCATATTACTCGAGAGAGTACTCTCAAAAATTCATGAGTATATAAAATGACCGAGTACTCACATACGTACTCAGACGATTTTTTCACTATACATCTACTCATAGACAAGGCCCTAAGTACTCATTGTAGTACTCGTCATCTTCTTTTCTAAAAAGACTCAATATACAAAATGGAATGTGTTAGGACGAAGAAGATGTCTTGTGCTGACTTTCAATGGACAGTAAGTTCACAATTTCAACAAGCTAATTTTCTTCTATGATTGTGGCGTTGCAGAGAAGCGGACTTATTCAGAGTCTACGAAGCCCCTTGAAAGGCAACAAATCCAGACTTTAAATGGTCTAGTTGCTACTAAGTATAAGAAGTGAACGATCGTAATACTCAACTAGAATACACTGCCACGAAAATAAGGATGTGTAGTACTCATATACTCGAAGCTCATCGTGAGTAGAATCGACGAGTACTTAAAAGTCCCGAGTACTCATGAGCACTCGCGGCATTTTCCAGCATCAGTACTTTTTGAGTACTCTCTAGGTGAGTACTTCCACTGGGGCTATAATCCTAAGTACAAGTCTACAGTGCTGAAATACTGTCAAAATATATCTATAAATTCGGATACTTCAATATCGAGACGTTGTTTCCAGCGTGCTATAGACATGGCACTGGCACCCACAAACTGCTCTTTTATTTATAATAAACTTTATTTAAATTTGTCTTCATAAAAGAGAATTTACTAGCTTCAATTCTGCTTATACTAATACCGATATTAAAGAAGGTTACGTCGACAATTTTCTATGAAAATATATAGAAATAATGAAGAAAATCGCTTACTTTTTGGTTCAGATTTTGATTGCGACGTTGCAACCTTCTGTTTAGTTGGCGTTGCCACAGATATTGTTGGTGCTGTAGAAACTGGATTTTCCAATTTTGCTGTTGGAAATGGCAACTCAAGGTATGGTCGCGGTGCATGTGCTTCTTTCAAATGAATTATGTGTAAGTCCTTGGCTGGACTCCATTTTCCCACAACGTGAAGATAAGTGCCGGGTAGAAGAAGAATTTCACTTTCTTTTGTATAAAATGAGTGGGCTCGAATAGACTTGCCGTTTATACATTCTATGTTGAATAATGTTCGCTCACCAGACTTTCCAACGAATTGTTCCATAACATTCACACTCTCGGTACATGAGCTAAATCCCCACCAAACTATATCATCATCGTACTGATCACTCAAATTACCACGAACTCCTCTCCAGATTGTGGTTCTCAATGATGGGAGTTTGAATAAAGCCGTAAGAACTAGTTTCAAGTAACGAAACCACGGTTTAAGCGGTTCTCGTCGTTCTGAACGAAGTATGTTATTAAGCTTAGTATACAGACTTACATTGGATTCCTCCCATTGCATTGTATAAAGATGGATTGCAGCTGATTCGTCCTGGGTGAGTCCATCAGCTGGTTTTTTTGAATTTTGTTTTGCCGTATCCACCATTATATCAAGATCATCGAGTTGATCGTCAATGGGTTTAACAGCTTCTTCCAGTGGTAGCAGTGGTTCCTTTGCATAGCCACGAATAGGCAGCAGAATTCGACGTGGTTCTTCACGGGCATCAAGAAATCGAGCGTTCGAAATTTCATTTGTAGCACTAGCCATCAACGCGCATTCAGTGTTAAAAAACGACAACAACTCACATTTACCTTTACTTTTATATTTATGTTGATTGTATCATAGCAACATTATTGCAATAGCTCAGAAGAACATAACGAAAAAAGTGTAAATAAGCGAGCATGGAATATTAAAAAGTCCATCCAAATCGATGAAGCTTGCCAGTCTCCATCGAGTAACAGTCTTCCGTACTTTCAAAATCTTACTTCTCAACAGAACAGAAAAAAAAACAAGAGTATGGATGAGATTGAATTTTTCTGATCACAAGCCTTCTTTCTCAGTCTCCAACACATGCGTACTCACCCACAGCTATACTCAAAATCGATGCAAACAAAAGTTCGCTTTTAACTATGTTCTCCTTAGTGATCGTTTATGAAGTGTAACTAATGATGTTACTTTTGTCCTACACATGCAAACAAAAATGATTATTTACTTCTTCACTGTCTAATGTTTACCTGATAGAGGGTGTGGGTGTGGATGGGTGTGGGTGTGGGTGTGGGTGTGGATGGTGTGGGTGTGGATGTGGATGGTGTGGGTGTGGATGTGGATGGTGTGGGTGTGGATGTCTGTGTATCAATAGATCAGAGCAACATTCACAAGGACCCACACCCACACCCACACCCACACCCCACACCCACACCCACATCCACACCCACACCCACACCCACACCCACACCCACACCCAC